TGTGGGTGTGGGTGTGGGGTGTGGGGGTGGGGTGGGGTGTGGGTGGGGTGGGGTGTGGGTGTGGGTGAGGGTTAAGGAAAGAAATACACCCACACACCCACACACCCACACCCACACCCACACTCACACCCACCCACGCCCCACCCAGCTTGAAAAATTTCGGTTTTCGGCGACCGCAACCAAAACTTTTCCAGGACTTTTTGAAAAAATTCTTAGTTTCGCGAAATTTTCCCACAAAAATTGGGAAATGTTAACTGAGAACCGATTTGTAAAGAACTAGATGAGAAAAGCTCTTGAAATTGATCCCGGCTGTTAAAATTACTTAAAAAATTGGATATTAATATTGCTACGACTGCCGCGGCTCAGCCGCTCGGCTTACACATCTAATTACAAGGACACATTATAAAGAATCATACGACTAGGATACACAAACATCGCATTGATCTCAACAGAAAGGACACATAATTCTATTGAAAGAATCGGCAACCTGTCGCAGAACACCAAGGCTCATGAAAAATGTCTCGTTTTTGTATCTTACTTACGCATCTTTTGGAAATCGTCACAAAAACTATAAACCATTTATAGCTCTTCTCTTTTAACTAACAGAAATCATAAAAAGAAACCAAAATTTTTCCAACAAAATATCGAAAGTTAATTACAAAAACTCGCAATCGAACATTTTTCATCTAATAGTAAAAACTGATTTTGAATCTCTTAACGAGACCATCTATTATCTGCATTATCAATCCTCTATAGAAAAAAAGCTTTCCAAGCAGTACTATTTAGACTGATTACCTTTGTCTTCTTTTGATGTTGTATCTGGGCTATTTAATGCTGTTTTTGACTTCGTATCAGCTGATGATGAAATATCGGTAGTCTTATGTCGCTCGCTGAGATATTGTTCTTGTTGTACTTTCAAGTAAAGTGTTACATTTTCCAATAATCTTTTATATAAATTCACTGTTGTTTTAGGTTTAATTACTTCAACTCCTTTCAACAAACCATGATTTGCAATTTCATTTAATGCCTTATTCTTCACATCATTATTGACTTTAACGTTACTCTGTTCTAATAATGACGATAACGGTCGATCATAATATAGACGTAATGCTTGGAATAAAATTGACTCTTTGTTATTTTTTTGTTCATTCACTACATCTTCCACGATATAATCCAAAAAGTTCGTTGTTGGTTTGTCAACATTACTTGTTATTGATTTTTTATCATCATTGGTTATTGATTCTATGCCCTCCGTTATTATTGTAAACCACAGATCGTGAAATATAGGCATCTCTCGTAAACATTGATCATCAATTCCTTCAAATAGAAGTTGTAGAATGATTGATAAGATTGGAAAATTTTTCATATATTTATTTCCATATTCTGCTGTACGAGTTAGAACATGTTCATATAAATCATGTTTTTCTCCATTTTGATATTGTTTAAGAAATACAATAAACCATTCATTAGAAGTGCCATATTGTGTTTCCCATTGTTGTTGAAAATAGTGTTTCAATAAGTTTATTAATTTCCCTTCATGACCATTCATTTCTGCTGTATATATTTCGAATATGATATCGTTTTCATATTTCACTAATGACTGTCGACCGCTTTCCAATAAATCGTTAACAATTTGATCTTTATTTTCATTATCTTTTAGTTGTAAAACATATATAATTTCATCTGTGATAGACTTTATTCGATCATCACCATCATTTGTATCGCTAGAGTTTTTACCTAATGAAAGTTTTATTTGTGACAAATCAGATAATTCTGCCATGTGAAATTCCTTATATAATTTTAATGATTGATATATATGAATATATGTTCTGAAATAACCAGAAACGTTAGTAAATTCGGTAAATTCGACCAAAAATTGATAAGGTACAAGCAACAGGTAAATGCACTCGGGTTCGACTAGATTATTGATTCTATTTACAGAATTTATTTGTTATGAAGATTTGCCCAATTTATTTATTTTTTTCTTTGACACGAGAAGAAAAATATTCCCAGTACAAAGAACCTTAGATTAAACGTTTACGTCCTTCAAATTTTCACTATGTATATAAGATCAGAAGATGATAAAGTATCTCATGAACTTGCTCCTATTTTATAAAGGTTATTTTGAAAAGAAAAAAACGATCGGATGCTTACTAGAACGCTTGAGTCAGTCAGCTTTATCCTACTATAGTATTTTTATGTTGATAGTTGTACGAGTATGTGAAAAAGACTTTCACTATATATTAAAGAAAATAAAAAAAATTTACCTTGAGCAGCTTCTATATATACAATAAATGATAAATACCGTGAGTGGATTTTTCCCCTTCAACGCAATTTTTTTTGAAAGAATAAACAAGAAAAAAATACTTTGTTATTTCTATTCAATTAAGAGAGAGAAAAAAAGACTAATAGGAAAACTAGCTAAAAGTCCTTGAAGGGAGAAAAAAGTAACAAACATAAAAATAATCTCGTTCGAAATTTAGAGAAAAAAAGCATATTGCCAAATTGAGTATGTGAATTTATATTAATAGGTCTTGTTTCGTTTTATAGTGTTAGATAAGACGTTGAACATACCCTATACTTTTATATATCGAAAATGATTCTAAGTAAAACAAAAGACGAAAATCTGAATTGCGTAAGAGTCATCCGCTGGGATACACTATTTTTAACGATATTCCTATCATCTAAACTATTCAATGAATATGCTCTTATGACTTGTTTTTTTTACGAAGAGAAACTACCCAGGTCAAAGATGTACGGCAGGAAACGATAGGATCCTGCGAAATTCCGGCCAATTCCTGGAAGCAGTATTCCGAATTCGGATACGGCTTCCGGATCCTGCTTAGTTCCCGCTAATTCCTGCACCGGGATGCAATGTTCGGATACGGTTGTCGTTTCCGGTCCGGTTCCCGACCAAGTTTCCGGTTTAATAGCACGCTAACCGGATCCGAGTTGTATACCTGCCGTTTCCAGTACGGTTCCAAACAAAGTTTCCGGTGTTTCTTTTAGCGGCGGCGCCAGGAGTTTTTACTAGGGTGGGCTTAGCCCCCTCTAGCTCAAATGTGGGTGGGCTCACTGTAATTGAGACCACCCTGGAAGCCATCTTTTGCTGCAACTTACAAATATCGAGGGTGGGCTGAAGGAATTTTAGGGTGGGCTCAGCCCACCTCCGCCCACCTGTGGCGCCGCCACTAGTTTCTTCCCAACCGCAAGATCCCGGTCATAAAGTACCCATTTCCGTTCCATTTACAAAGCCCACGTCCGGTCGTATTAAAGATCCGTGAAAGATATTTCGAAGATCTTTCAAAGACTATCAAAGAATTTCGAAGAGTTTCAAACACCTTTCAAAGACTTTCAAAGATATTTCAAAAATGCTGCTAAGATCTTTCGAAGGCCTTTCCAAGAACTTTAAAAGATTATCAAACACTTTGAAAGATCTCTGAAAAAACTTTCAAAAATCTTTGAAAGATCTTTCAGAGACTTTCATACGCTTAGAAAGATCTTTCAAAAGGTCTTTGAAAGATCTTTCTAAGACTTTCAAAGACCTTTCAAACACTTTCCAAGACCTTTCAAACACTTTAGAAGACTTTGTAAAAATGCTTCAAAGATCTTTCAGAGGCTTTCGAAGACTTTGAAAGATCATTCAAACATCGTTCTAAGGTCTTTCAAAGACTTTCTAAGAAATCAAAAGATTATTCAAATATCTGTCTAAGATCTTTCAAAGATTTTCCAAGAAATCAATAGATTATTCAAATATCTGTCTAAGATCTTTCAAAGACTTTCGAAGACTCAGAAAGATCTTTGAAAAAAAATTCAAAAACTTTCAAGAATGTTTGAAAGATCTTTCAGAGACTTGCAAAGATCTTTCAACAATCTTTTAAAGACTTTCAAAGACTTTCAAAGACTTTCAAAGACTTTCAAAGGTCTTTCAAACATTTTTGAAAGATTTTCAAGGACTTTCAAGCACTTTTGTAAGATCTTTGGAAGATGTTTCAATGATATTTCAAACATCGTCCAAAGATCTTTCAAAGACTTTCAAAGATCTCTGAAAAAACTGTCAAGAATCTTTGAAAGATCTTTCAAACATCTTTCTAAGATTTTCAAATATCTTTCAAAGTGTTCCAACGACATTTCAAAGACTTTCGAAGACTTTGAAAGATCGTTCAAACATCTTTCTAAGATCTTTGAAAGATTTTGAAAGATCTACAAGGATCTTTCAAGCGTCTTTCTAAGATTCTCAAAGGGCTTCAAACATCTTTCTAATATTTCTCAAAAACTAGGATGCGGGTGTGTGGGTGTGGATTTGGGTGTGAGTGTATTTAAGAGTTTATCTACATTCACCCTCACACTCACACCAACACCCACCAACACACCTACACCAAACAAGTGTTATGCCTAACGAAGAAAACTAATGATCTAAATATAAATGTGAACCACTTTTTGCAGACGTCTTTGATTACCAGGAGGGTCTGGATGTGGGTGTGGATTTGGGCGTAGATGCCAGAATGGTTGTCGATGGGTGTATGGACGTTGATATAGTCTTCACTGACAACCATACTCACAGCTACACCCAAACCCATCCAAACCCATATGCACTCCACCCACGTCCACACGCAACTTATCCTCTTCAGAAAGCACAAAGTACCCAAGTGAGGCATTTCAATTTCATTTCTCATGAGGATATACATTCGATTTGAAATACTTCATAATTCCAATGCGTAACGTATGAGGACAGAGATGTCGTACTCCGCAGCGATTATCATTTTGGAACGCACAAAGTATTTAAATGACGTATTTCGTTTTCGTTCTTCATGAGGATGTACATCCGATGTAAGACTTGATAATCCCTATATGTAATGTGTAAGGAAGGAGGAGATATCGTGCTCCGCAGCGAGGGTGTGGGTGTGGGTGTGGGTGTGGGTGTGGGTGTGGGTGCGGGTGCGGGTGTGAGTGTAGGGTGTGGGTATGGCTGAGGTTTGCGGTGTATGGGTGGGTGTAGATGTGGCTGTAGGAGTGGGTGTTTCCCTTCCCCTAACCGCCCAACCACACCCACTACCACACCCACCCACACCCCACACCCACCCACCCACACCCACAACCACCCACCCACACCCACACCAACACCCATATCCGCACCCACACCCACCCACACCCACACCCACACCCACCCACACTCACACCCACCCACACCCACACCCACACCTACCTACACCCACACCCACACCCACCCACACTAGAGGTGGGCCATTTACATTAACTTAAAATTAAGTTTAAAGTTATCACTTAACACTTAATATTAAAATTAACTGAATCACTTAACACTTAATTTTAAAATTAAGTTTTTGAAAAATCACTTAATCACTTAATTTTGAAATTAAGTGAATCACTTAACACTTAATATTAAATTAAGCGAGTCACTTAACACTTAATATTAAAATTAAGTGATTCACTTAACACTTAATAGTAAAATTAAGTTTTTCACTTAATCACTTAATTCATTAATATTAAGTGATTAAGTGATTGAAATGAAGAAGATATTATTTTATTTTGACATTTTTCTCAAATAAAAGTTAATTTAAAGTATATTAGGGCTTATCCCTATAGTTTTTCAAGGGCTATCTAAACATGATCACTATAACTCTTTAAGGCCTCCTCTCCTCTAAAAACGTCAATATTCGTCAGAAACACGACATTGATATGAATGTATGAGAAGATAGTCCAAAGTGTGCTCTTTTGAAAATGATATAAATTTTCATTTGGTACATAGTCTCTACTAAAAACTTTTAAGGAGCTTCGTCACTCCCTACTCGAAAAATAAGCAGTTTTTTTACAAAAATCTGAGATTCTTTTTCGAGTTTTTCGTTTATTCTTCTCTGATCTAGCATTCTGAAATTCCTGAAAGCGCTTCATTGTAGTCAATAACTCTTTTTTGCTTGAAAGAGTATATCAAGATGCAGTGCACCAAAGAGCTTTTTTTTCTAAATTAAGCTTTACTTTTACTACATATATAGACAAAACTAACGCTCGTCCATGTGACTCGGTTGAACCTCGACTGAATATTCGACTCTTTCGATATTGTATACTGCTTTATGGCCCTCAACATAGCTAGTGTCCAACGTTTGAAAAAGGGTGAGTGTGTGAATGTTGGTATCAGAGTCAATCTTGTTGTGCACAATGGTTCGGGTGTGGGTGTCGGTGTGGGTGTAGGTGTGGGTGTGGGGTGTGGGTGTGGGGTGTGGGTATGGGTGTGAGTGTGAGGGTGTGGGTGTGGGTGTGGTTGAAGAATAAAAACCCACACCCGCACCCATACCCGCACCCACACCCATACTCGCACCCACACCCGCACCCATACTCGCACCCACACCCGCACCCACACCCATACCCAAACCCACACCCAACCAACGGTGATGACTGGTGCAGAGGCACTATTGGCTTCTACTAGCATAGAAACCGCTGAATAGCACCAAAAACAGGTCATTGCCATAGGTTCCTGCATCGAAAACCTGCAGCGATGACCAGTGACGAGGCATTATGCCCTTCTACTAGCATAGAAACAGCTGAATAACATCAAAAATCGGCTGTTCTCGTAAGTTCTTCAGACTATTTGTAAAAGACGTGAACACGAGGACACATTCGATTCCAAGATTTTGAACACTGCAGAACCAGTTCCGCACCTGAATCACTTCTGTCCAATTCCGGAAACTTGATCATCATCCAACATAAGAGCCCTAATTGATATCAATCGAATTCCTTCAATTTCCAGCATTTCAGGAATTGAGT